CGCCGGTAGAACCAATGAAATCAAAGACGCGCCTCGACCGGCAGACTCATAGGCGTCGGCAACGCATTGGAATTTGTTTCGTTGAGCGATCGCATATTGTGTGTTTTTATAAGAATTGTTGTGTGATTGTTATTGTTGTGGTTTCTGTGGTTACTGTTTTGGTTATACTTAATCATGGAGAGTACAAATGGCACGAGTGGAAGTACTGAAAGCCAGGGAACCAGTAGACGGCTTCGTAAAGCACTGAAGAGGGACGCGAAAGCAATCGTGCTCAACGTGTTCAATTATCTGAACAGAAATATGTCGCAGGGAGATGCACTCGCGCGTTGTGAAGTATGACAGGCGTTCCAGAGTGGAACATTAGCAGGGTGGTGCATGAAAAAGAAGGAAAACTGGAGCTACTACTGATCCAAAGTTTAATTTGAAGGGACGAAAGGCCGTTAAATTGAATGACTATAGCAAAATGGCGTTAAGGCGAACCGTACATTCATTCTTCTTTAGGAATGAGATACCAACCCTCAAGGCTGTACATGCAGCGATCAAGGAAAATGAAATATACCCCAAATGAGCGTCGAGGTAATGAGGAAATCCCTGCACGAAATTAATTTCGTTACGAAACGCGTAATCGGATGTCAGTATTGATAGAGAGACCTGAAATAGTCACCTGGCGTCGAAAATACCTACGCGAAATGATTGAATATAGGCGACAAAGCAGAAAAATCTATTATTTGGACGAGACATGGGTAAATGCAGGTCACACAGTTAAAAAAAACCTGGATAGACAAAAACGTAGTGAGTAACCGACAAGTAAGCATTGAAGGTTTGTCAACAGGTCTTCGTGGACAGTCAGGGAAAGGTCAAAGATTGATCGTAACTCATATTGGTAGCGATAGTGGCTTTTTAGAAGAGTGTGACTTGATTTTCGTCTCTAAGAAAGGAGCGATTACCATGACGAAATGAATGCCAGCTGCTTCGAGAGCTGGTTTCAAGGGGTGCTTCAGCGAGTTGAGCCCAACTCTGTGATCGTCATGGATAATGCTTCTACCATAGTCGTCGAGCCGAACGTGTACGACTATGGATCTCGAAAAGTGACATGCAGCAATGGTTGCGCGAAAAAGGAATCCCGTTTGACGATTCATGTGTGAAAGCGGAATTGTATGAAAAATTAAACAGCACAAACCTGCGAACATTAGTTTACGTGACTGATGAGATGGCCCGTCAATGTGGTGTCACTGTGCTGCGGTTACCGCCCCTACCACTGTGAACTGAACCCAATAGAGCTGATCTGGGCTCAAGTGAAGGGTTATATTGCGCGCCATAACACAACCTTCAAATTACCAGACGTTAAGGTTTACTTGAGACTTCCATACAGCCATACAGTAACGCCCCGAAGCTTGGCAGAATGCTATCCGTCATGTTGTGAAGGAAGAGAAACAAAAATGTGGCAGCTTGACCACCACATCGACACCATCATAGAGCCAGTTATAGTAATTTCAACGAGGAAAGCGATAGCGACAGTTTATTACTGTCAGATGTAAGTGGAAGCGACGATGAATAAAGGTAATTCCCAAATTTTTGACTTACAATATGTTTCAAACCCACTCTTTATTAAGCATGTGCAAATCTAGTTCACCCATGTTAAACATTCATACCCCGCCTATGAACAGCCGACTACTGGTAGTTTAAGTGATGTTCACCTGAACATCGATGAGTCATTACAGTCTTAGATAGTTATAGTATACTCGTATATCTTTACTTTTAAGCTTTTAAGTTAGTTAAGTGGAAGATCGGCCATTCCTCTATAGGAATGAAAGGCTGAACTTCGCCTTTTCCAAGTATCACTTCCATATCTCTGTTACCTTGGTACCAACGAATAAAGATTATTATTATTATTATTATTATTATTATTATTATTATTATTATTATTATTATTTATTATAACCCCAGATTTTCGCGATTATCGATCATCAACTTTTTTACCACTTTTACCTGGGATATCATGTTTATGTAAACGCCCTTCTTAACGTGTACATTTATCATGAAAGCAATCTTTATCTCATCACAACCGGGACTACCTTGCATAAACTCCTCCAATGCAAAATGCAAATTCCGCAATTTATTTTACTATAGTTCCTCATGCTTACATGCCTTGGCGTAAATGAGAGCTAACGATAATTAAAAGTATGTAAAAAAGACGGGTAGCAAAGAATGAAAAGGCAAACAGGCGTGCGTTCTACTAAATGCGGCGAATAATGTGCTGTTCACAACGAGCAAGAAGAAAAAAGAGGAAGGAACTTTCACTTTGATTTCACACTTTTGCATTCGGCGTGTGCTACGTGCGCGATTATATCCCGCTTTTTTCCTTCCAAAAAGCAATTGTTAGCCCAGTCAAACTTTGAGCCGGAAAATACGATGGAACTTACATCAAAAATTATACAGGGTGATTCACAAGTCGTGACCAAAAATGAAAACATCATATACAGGACCGGGGTCTTCTACGTAACATTTTTCCTCGAGGCCTTCATTAAAAAAGATACGGAGTATTGAAGCTTAAAAATAAAAAACTGCAAACTGAAGGTAAAATTCGAAAAAAAAAACAGTGTCGTGGCTAGTTTTATTTTGGAAAATAATGTCACTAGTCCCCTGCATCTCCGCCACTGATGCACGTTAAGATTTTTGAATGGTGGTCAATGTACATACCGAATTTTAGTTCATTCCAGTTGACGGTTTGGAAGATATTAAAAAAAATCTTTTTTTATTTTTAATCTTCAAAGCCCCGTATCTTTTGAATGAAGCCCAAAATGTTACATAGAAGAACCCCCTGAAATGCGGTCTGTGTATGATGTTTTATTTTTGGTCACGACTTGTGAATCACCCAGTATAGTTATGAATTTTTGAAAAAGATTTCACTCACAATTCAACTTTTGACAATACAATACAACACAATATATTACAAAGTGATGGTGATAAAACAGTGGTTTTATATATACACTAAAATAAAAACATGTATAGTGTTTTCTTATGTGGTACCTAGATAACTTATATCCGTATGCACCAATCTTGAATAATGTGTAATGTAAACATTTTAATAATAAAATAGTAAAATAAATAAAACAAAATAATCCAGGTCAAATAATTATTTGACAATCATGATAATTATAATGTCATGCCAATTACTTTGTAGTCACTTAACAAGGACAACAATCAAACCAACTCAGAATTTAAATTCCTAAAAAAAACATAAAAAAATGATCAAAACATTTGCATATTAGTTATCAAAGAGCTATGAACCTTTCAAGGCTTGCCATATCTACACCCTGAACTGAACAATTTTAATTTATTTATCATTCTCAGTCTACCAGGCAAATTGTTGTAGATTTTCGGACCAATATAGTCAATTGATTTTAAGTTTATGTTCGTGAAACTATTGGGTATTATTAGATTTCTATCAGCATTGTTTCTGTTGAATAAGGATGACTAACATATTCTTCTTATTAAAGGATTTAAAGGAGCAAACTTCTAAAATACACACTGATCTTACAGCAAGTATTTTATTTTTATTTAAACTAAAATTAGATGAATCAAGCCAACATTTTATTTTTTCTAATCCAAGAGATGTTTTTTCATATACCTCTTCCCATGTTTCCGCCACAAAGACCACGCGGTGTCATCGGCGTATGAATCCACCATACATTTTCTAGAATAATATCTTTTCAATGAGTTTATATAAGGGTTGTCCAATAGGGACGCAGGAAAGTAAACGTCAATTTGACATAGACGCCATCTTTTGTTTTCTGTTCCCGACCTGTCATTTTGTTAGTTGAATGTTACCATTGATCGCTATGGAGTCGTATTCGATTGAAGACCGCATTAAAGTTATTCAGAGCACTACAAAAAATGGTGCAAAAATATAAAAACACGTTTCGCGCGCTTCGTGAACATTTCGGTCGCAGACAACCGCCCAAACGAAACAACCATCGGTCGTCTGGTGCGTAAATTCGAGGCAACAGTTCTGTGGCAAATCTGCCAGGCTCTGGCCGGCCAAGGAGCGTTCGCACACCGGAAAATATTGCTGTTGTGAAGGAGAGTGTGAGAGACGATTCGCAACAATCAAACAACGCGTCGATCCCAAGAATTGGGCATCTCGAGAACCAGTTTGCTCCGCATTCTCCACAAGGTTTGAATGTACACGCCTACAAGATCCAATTGACGCAAGAGCTGCGTCGGGCCCGACCATTTTTTCGCGCCGAACGTTCTCAGATTTGGCTCCTTGAACACCGCCAAATTGATGCCAATTTTCATCAAAAATCATGTTCAGCGACGAAGCGCATTTCACTTTGAATGGGACGGTAAACAAGCAAAACTGCCGCATCTGGGCGGACGAAATCCCCGTGAGTGTCAGAGAGCAGCCGATGCATCCTCAAAAGTGACTGTGTGGTGTGCATTCTGGTCAAAAGGCATCATCGGACCTTACTTTTTCGAAATGCCGCCGGGGACGCCGTTACCGTCAATTCTGAGCGATATCACGTGATGATAGAGGACCATTTTTTGCCGCAACTTGAAGGAATGGATATGGAAGATGTTCATTTTCCAACAAGACGGTGCAACATGCCACACAACCAACGTCAATATCCATCGATTGCAGTCCTTCTTCGGTGATCGCGTGATTTCGCGCAGAGGAAGGTGCCATGGCCACCAAGATCGTGCGATTTGACTCCTTGACTTCTTTTTATGGAGATATTTGAAAGCAAAGTCTACGTCAACAAACCAGCCACCCTCCAAGAACTCAAAAACAACATCATTGCCGAGATTAAATGCCATAGAACCGACCATGTTGCAAAATGTCATTGAAAATTTCGACCGTCGCGTGGACCGTCTGTAAATCCAGTCGTGGTGAACATTTGAGCGATATTATTTTCATACATAAATGGTATAAATGAACCTTCAAAATAAAGTTCCCAACTTGATTTGAATATCATCTTTCTTGTTTTAATATGCGTTTACTTTCCTGAGTCCGTTTTGGACAGCCCATATAATATAAATAGTAATGGCCCAATAACGGTGCCCTGTGGTATGCCCATTTTATTCTGACGAGTCACTGATACGTTTCCGATTTTAGTCATCGGTATTCTACCTGTCAAGTAACTCGCAAAAACCTCCGACACAACACCCTTGATCCCATAAACATCGAGGACGTCTAGAAGGGACTCATGAGGCACTGTGTCAAATGCCTTTGCAAGGTCTAGGAAGGCCGCAATGCCTTTCATTCCTTGATCAAGATTTTTGAATGGTTCTTGTAAGCTTAAGTATCGCATCTGAGGTACTGATGCCATTGCGAAAACTAAATTGATTTTCTGACGAACATTGTTAATAGATAAAAAGCGTGATAATCTCTCTTTAAGACACTTTTCGAAACGTTTTAGCGAAATTCCTAATAACTACAGTATATTCAGATAAGAGATAGACCGGACATAAACAAGACCACGTGATCATCGAACGCTGTAACATTCGGCAGGGACGTATTAAGAGTCACGCAGTACATATTTTAGATAGTAGATGCTGCTTTGCGTAACTTTGTAGTAAATTAGCACAATTCGATGTGTATACGATTGGTGATGGATATAGGATCATGTGGGGGTGAGGTAAGAAATATAATGATGTAAATATACATAAGGGTTTCAAAATTTTCGCTTCGATTTCCAGCTTCGGATGCCGCCTGATGTTTGGTGAAATACAGTCGAATATAATCTCAAAATGGCGTTTAAATTAGCCTAAATTAAAAATAATCGTATATCTCTTAAAATTGCTTTTAGAATATTGATTAGTATATTTTTTGATTTCTAGGTAAATATGTAACCAAATTAAAACGTTCAAAACGTAAAAAAATGTGCATGGTTGAACATTGTCAGAAAGTAGATTCTTGAATAGGTTTTGCCAAAATGGGTTCAAAAATGTCAATAATTAATTAAAAAATACAGTAGCTTTATAATTACTTATAACTTACCGAATTTGATGAACGACATCTTTTATTGGAAAGATGAGCTTGATGAGCTTTCATCATCGCTACTGCCTGAAGCACCAACGTCAATAATAAATGGCTCGACTTGTTCCTCTAAAATATTGTCCAGTTCCCACATTCTCTTTTCAACTTTGTATTTCACGTGTTTAATACAGTTTTCCCATTTTTGCGCTGTTATTAATTCTAGTGCTTCTTTGAAAAGTCCTTTGAGGTCACAAAATTTAAAAGTTGTATTGTGCTTAGCTATATAATTTTTAACCTCTGCCCATATGAGCTCAATGGGATTGAGCTCGCAATGGTATGGAGGTAAACGGAGCACATTTTTATTTTGACTTGCTGCCATTTCGTCAATGGCGTATTTTTGATATTCCGCCTTGTGATCCTTGACAATTCTTAATAATTGTACTTTCAGCATTGCTTCTTCAAAGTTGATATTTTTCGAGCGGAGCCAATTTTGAACATCAACTTTCCTTGAAGCCGTTGTTGGGACCTTCTCCATTCTTCCAGAATGATAAGGCGCATTATCCAACACAATTACTGCGTTTTCCTCTAAGTTCGGTAAAATTTTTGAAAACCACTGTTCAAACGATTCGCCATTCATTTCCTCGTGGTAATCTCCAGTTTTCTTAGACTCAAAGCACCACAGACCGTCAACAACAAATCCATCCTCACTGCCAATATGGCAGATAATGAGCCTTTTCCCTTTACCTGGAAATCGAAGTACTAACTGGTGTAGATTTATTTCAATAAGCGAACCTTTTTCAAATGTTTTCATCACATTCAGCGAAAAAACATTGAGACATGAGTATCAGATTGCTATAATTGGGATTATTTAGTCATATTGAAAGAAAGAATATTGAACGTCGTATGATTACTCAGCGCAGTAACTTTTTTAAGTTATAATATTCGACATATTTTAAGATTATATTAAAAAATTATTGAAATATCGAAAACACATAAAAACATGGCTTAAAAAAGTTCTAACAAATGAAAATGACAATAAAACATCCACGCATTTTATCGAAAGTTATAAAAGTTTTGTTACTTGTAATATGTATTATCTGCCCCTTGGAATTAATGTTTAGAACCTTGTTCCCAAGGTTTGAAAAACATCCGATTGTTGTCTATTACTCGTATTTACCTGCTGGATTTTTTAATCCGGTGGACAGTCCATCTAGAAAGGCCCTCCTGGATGAAGTTACAGAATCATCAACCCATACTTTACTTGTAGTGTGTCCTGCGTTTACCCACGTTTCATCAAGGTAATAAATCTTCCTGTTTTGATTTCTATATTTCCCAATTTTTGTTAAATAATCCCTCCTCCATAGCACAATTTCTTCTCTATCCAGTAGTAAACTATTACGACCCCGTTTTTTCCATTTGAAATTTAAATGCTTCAGTAACGCATGGAAAGTTGATCGTTTGAAATTTGGCAACGTTGTATCTCCATTTACCTCCTGCAGTACTTTATCTATAGTAGGTATTTCATTCCTAAAGAAGAATTCATGCACTTTCCTCCTAATCGCATGCTTATCAGCTTCATCCAATGATTTAATAATACTTTTGCGATGTTTACTGGTCATTGGCTCAGAAAAGGTGTGATTTTTTTTGTATTGTCTTAACACATTAAACACTGATGCGCGACACACCCCAACTTTGTGAGAAACCTTCACAACAATTTCTTTGGTGGTTGATGCCTCGTTCTCCTCGCGCTCGATCTTATATATATTCAAAATGACCTCTTTCATTTCCGCACTCAGGTGTTTTTTTAGAGCGTTTCCTAGGTGGACTACAGGAGTTTACAACTTCATCGGCAGTATCTGTACTACTGGGCATTTTGCGCAAGCAGTTGATAACAATAACAATCAATAACAAGGTATAACAATAACAACGACAAACTCAACAACTTAATAAGATAAAAACGAAAACGTCCAAAGTAATATCAAATTGCAATGATGCACACGACATACGTAACACGTCTGAACCTGAATGTGACTCTGCCTTGATACGACTGCTCTGCCGCTCGGCATAGGCATTTAATTGCGAATTGACCAATGAGGGCTCCTGTTTTACGTCGAGACGGCGGCGTTAGCGTGAAAATCACCCGAACCTTTTGTTTACATCCGGTCTATCTCTTATCTGAATATACTGTAGAATTGGATTTGTAATTTTAGTTTTATTTCCAGATTTATATATGGGATAACAATAGTCGTTTTAAAAATAGATTTATGATGTGTACTAATGGCTCAATTAAGTACAAATGATATTGCTTTATAATTATCGTTTGTACTCCATCAAAACCGCGTGAACAGTTGTTTTTCAATGAACTGATATGTTTAATAATCTCATTTCTGTTGACAGACTTTAAAAACATGGAACTTAATGATTTATATTTAATTTTTGAAGGGGGTTTTATTTTGCAAGCCATTTTGTTCCCTACATTAATGAAAAAATGGTTGTAGTATCCAGCCATTTGTTTATCATTTGTGAATGTTTTGTTATTATCTTCGCTAATTTCAATTTTGCTAGATTGTTTACTTTTTACATTAACAGCATCAGAAATAATTTTGTAAATCTTTTTAAAATCGTTTTGATTTTCATTGATTTGTTCCTTATAATAGTTAAATTTTTGATTATTAATTATTTTACTTAGGTCGTTTCTGTAGTTTACATACGTATCCAATAAGTTATTATTATTATTATTTAAGAGTTTTTCAGTTTATCCCGTTTCTTTATAGCTAAAATTAGTCCATTAGTAATCCATGGTTTAAGTTTTCTATGCTCGTTATAATATGCCGTTTTTTGAATGGTTGACCTTTTAATAAGCATATCAGTTTTAATATTAAGATTGTTTGCTGCAACTTGATGCAACTTGAGAGGATATAATAAGTGAAATTTGACAAATATAGGTAACATTCTATTGGGTCTATTTTATCAAAATGCTAGTTGGGACGTTGGGAACTGCAACAGCTGCTGTCATCAGGTTCATGCTTTTCAATACAGTTTGGTCGAACTTCTTATATGACGAACTGGCTAGTATAATCTCGCATTTGCTCGAAGCACATTGAGGACGTAAGACGCGGTCTCCCAGAATGAGATTTCACTTTAACTGCTCTCTTAAACGCGTCTACCACTGTCGCAGTACTCTAGAATTAACGCCTTTCTTTCGTGATTACTCGAGTACCTATAAAAAATACTGCTTCGCCAACACAGATCCTTCTACATTTCGATTACCCCACGACTTCCAGTTCGTATCCTCTTTTTGCTATTTCGGCAAGATGCTGTCGGCGATTGCTAAATATCAGCCGCATTCGTGATAAACCGTATATCACGTATTTAACGGATGCTAACCACCATCGGCAGATCAGCACCGCAGCACGGCGGAAAAAAAACCAATAGATCCTTGCAACGGAGAGGTGAGCTGTCTTTCCCAAAAAATAACAGTCCCGCGGGGCTATAAATCATCAGGGGTATACACAAACCCGCGCTCGGACCCGGGTCGAGGTACCCGGCATATTATATACGACCACGAACGGACGAACGGTCGGGAACTGGCGAAGACAGGTCCGCGTATACACATGCACAAATTCGCGTGTACACGACGTGACACAATTTAAGCGAAGTGGAAGTGTCGTTATATTCTCGTGAAGAGTAGTCTGATTAATTCCCGATTCGATCATTCATCGTTTTAACCAAACCCTTTCAATCTTCAAGTAGTCAAAAGTCACTTTATTTTCTACTGTACGTACGTGATTTAGGGTGGATTTCACCAGGATTGTCAAATCGACGGTCCGTCATTCTCCACCTATAGGGTAACAGTCCGTGAAATACAGCGAATGGGCTTCAAGTTCCAATCAACGAATTTTAGCAACCAATAGCTATGAAATATTGAAAACAAAATATTGTTAAAGTATGGGATTGAATGTCATTGAAACATAACCAGCTTATTGAATATTAAGAAATTACATATAATTTCAAAAAGTTAGATTTTTGAATAAAATTCATGTTTTTATTTAATATTGTCGATTGTTTATTCATGTTTATACTTTTCTTCAATTGATATGCGATTTTGCTGATTCAACATCACCTACCGGGTGTTTTTCCTATAAACCTCTTGCAGATAGCCATTAAGCACCTAGTTGATGACAGGC